ATTGTGCGCAAGGTTGTCGGCATCGCCCAAGAGACCATCAAACGCTTGCAAGATTTGCAAGTGGTTAGCGCGGACCTGGTCAGCAAGGACCGCGTGCAACTTTTTGTCGATTCAGGCCACCAAACTCGACTACACGGATGCGCTAGGACCCGAGCGCATGGGTAGCGTCGACAGATTCGCAAAAGAGTAAAGGATGCGGTCGCAAGGGGTCGAAAAGGTCGGAGCGCGAGGCGAGTTCAAGGGCAAAAAGTGATGCATAGTCCGGGAATCGAACCCGGGTCTACCGCGTGGCAGGCGGTAATTATACCACTAAACCAACTATGCCTCGATGTCCGGGGCCGACCTGCCGTACAGTAAGCCAAGTCGCAAACCGCGCTGATCGACCCGCGTACCTTTGCTCGCCCGTATCTCGACCTGTACCGCTCCAGTTCGAGCACCACCGCTCATTGAGCATCCGAGACGGTCCATCTACAAGCTCGTTGATCGAACACACTCGCCAGATCACTGTGGCGCTCCACAGTGAGAGACAAACGCTACGCAGCGAACGTGGCGTTTACAAGTGAAGCGAGCACCAGTGAGCGATCCGAGCGGCAAGAAGAGTGAGCGCGCGATGCTAGTGATCGCCGAGCTGCCGCGTGCGTGCTCCCCCGCTCATCCACGATCTCCAGCGCGAGCTCCGATCGCCACGCTCAAGTCCAGCCAGGAACGCAAGATGAAGTGATTGCTCGAGTAGAATATCAAGCCCGGTTAGCTCAGTCGGTAGAGCGTGAGACTCTTAATCTCAATGTCGTGGGTTCGAGCCCCACACTGGGTAAACATTTTTTACCCTTTTCTTTTCTCGAGACTTGATTTTGACCCCCTCAGAGCCGACCTATGCGAAATCTGTTGATACCATCGTGTTCCCCGTGATATATTGCCTAGGATGGTGCCGGTTTCGAGGCAAAGGAGACCGAAAAGCGACCCGCCCCAAGGGGGACTCGGCGCACAGTGTAGTCAGCCGATCGGTCGCGATTTCGCCAAGTCCCCCGCCGAGACCAAAGAACGTCACTTTTTCACCAGGTTCCCGACCGACTCTCGCGACACTTAAGACCTCTATGGATAGGCAAAACGATTCTGCGTTGCATGGCGTCAACAGATTCGCATCATTCCGACGGCAACATGGTCAAATATTGACCCGACCGGTTCGAGTCCGCGCGACACCAAAGTTTTGCTCGCGGTGTCACGATTTCGACCCCTTCCCGTTGGGCTATCATGACGCCTCAGATATCAATGGATAGCTACAGTGATTCTGAGTTGCATGGCGTCAACAGATTTGCATGATCCCGACGGCAACAGGGTCAACTCTCGACTTGAACGTGTTCGAGTGCGTAAACGTGCGCTCGGGTGCATCCTTCAATGCTTTCGCGCGCCCTCCTAAACTTAAGCTTGCGCTAAGTTCCCGCAGCAATTGCAGTCAACAGATTGAAAAAATCTTAAGAGACCATGTCGGGGGACCGACTCGAGTGCGGGTCGGTCGGGGCGGTGCCGTGACATGAGTTTTGCAGCTTTCTGGGATCTGTTGCTCTTGATCATTATCAACAAGGTGCCCCAACATTCATGTGGAGCGCCTTTGGTCTAGCATGTCTGTAGCGCACTGGGGGTCGGGTCGATCCGGGTCGGTCGAACCGCTCCCACGACATGAGTTTTACAGCTTTTTTGATTCTGTTGCTTCTAATCGTAGCTAACAAGGTGCTCCAACATCCATGTGAAGTGCCTTCTGTCTAGCGTCCTTGTAGCGGAAAATGGTTCGGGTCGATCCGGGTCGGACGGACCGCTGTCGCGACCTGAGTTTTGCAGCTTTTGCGGATCTGTTGCCTTTGATCTTGTTCAGTGACGTGCCCCAACCTGCGTGTGCAAGGGCGTCTGCCTAGCTGTTCTCTAGCGCCGGAATCGACAGTGCATCCGAGCTTTCGCATCTGTCAATGCTTTGCCGATCTGTTACTTTTATATAATCAGAGTAAAAGAGGAACACATGATGCAACTTACAGATCAAAGATCCGTTGAGAAATGGCTTTGCAATTTAATACGCTCGGTCGACCAGCTAAAGCGACCAAGTGACCACACTCAGGATCGAACCCGCGACCCGACTCCGTCTCACTCGCAACTCGAGCTGTATAAATGGAATAAAGGCGCAAATTATTTTCTGAGGTCCACGCGTCATATAACGATCCCTGTTAAAGTTTGGGAGCAATCCGAGTTTTGTGTCTCGGCCCCGTGTAAAACAAATGCAAATGCAAGTGGCAGGTATGGAACCCGCGACCTCTTGGCTCTCAAGACGTGGTGCGGGAGCAAAATCGCCCCAATCAATTTTTGATTAATACGGGAGCTCCAGAATAGATAGCAATGTAACATACTCGAGTACGAGCTCAAACGGACCCGGATTGAGTGTGAAAGTAAATCCGAAGGTACTCGCAAATGCGCTAACAAGCAGGATCGAACCCAGGGCCGTGTGAGCGTGAAGTAGAGCCGACACTGTCCTTGAGCTGTTGCGCTAGTTTGAGCTGGACTTTGAGACGTGAGGCGATCGTGCGCCGCGGCCTCGGTGATCGCATATTACTCGCGCTGTATGAGAGCGATGAGGCTCGGGCTTTCAGCATGGAGCGAGCATACTGTCGACTACATTCTGGAGAAAAAAGAGCTCGATCGGAGCCGCCCTCGCGACACAGCAGCGTGTGCGCCGACTCGAGCTGTGTACGCTTCGCTGCTTGCGCTGTGCGCGAGGGAGCAAAACGAATGTCCAGGAAGGGATTCGAACCCTCGCCTCCGAAGAGACTAGTACCTGAAACTAGCGCCTTAGACCGCTCGGCCACCTGAACATCAAAGTTTACATGTACTCGGGTCGCTCTCGACCTCCAAGTCGCTCGCACATCGAGATCCGCATTGGTCCAGTGGTCAGGATCCCTCGCTTTCACCGAGGTGGCCGGGGTTCGAATCCCCGATGCGGAGCAGCGCGTTTTGCTGCGACGAGTTCGAGTCGATCACCTTTTTCTTGCGCTGTACGCGACGCAAAAGGCTCGTCCCGCTCACAGCGAGCGAGAAAAAGAAGGGCTCGACCGGGGATTGAACCCGGGACCTCTCCCACCCTAAGGGAGAATCATACCACTAGACCATCGAGCCTTGCTTCTCCGATGCGCGTCTATCTTCACGATCGTCCCTCGCGAGCCAGATGCTTCGCGAGAGGGAAAAAAAGGGATGAGGAGAGTGGGATTCGAACCCACGCCTCCGAAGAGATCACGGCCTTAACGTGACGCCTTAGACCGACTCGGCCATCTCCCCATCGATTTCTGAGCGTGTACGATCGATCACCAACCGCTACGGCAACAAACGCAATCGACTCGCTCGCTTTCTTGCTCGCGCAACTTGATCGACCGTTGCGTGTCCGCGTGTAAGACAACGTGCCCGAGTGGTTAAGGGGATTGACTAGAAATCAATTAGGCTCTGCCTGCACAGGTTCAAATCCTGTCGTTGTCGTTTTTTGCTGCTCAGAGCGGTCTCGCGGCGATGTTGAGTGTGATTCTACGCGAGGATCGACTGATCCAAGGCGCGCGCGAGCAAAAAGGATGATGCGGAGTGGGAGACTCGAACTCCCGACCTTAGGATTATGAGACCTACGCTCTGCCGACTGAGCCAACTCCGCATTGAATCAGCTCGAGTAGTTGGTCTGGATGATCGGCTTTCGCGGCGAACGAAGCTGAGCTTTCCGCAGCTTACTGCGAGCTCTTGTGGCGCAATTGGTTAGCGCGTTCGACTGTTAATCGAAAGGATGGTGGTTCGAGTCCACCCAAGAGCGTTTTTCATTTTGCTGCTTGCGCTCTTGCGCGTACAAGCCAGGTAATCAATCACGAAGCGGCTCGAGCGAGCGCTGAAGATTCTCGTCAAGGATCGGTGCTGATGAGCGAGGAGGAAAAAAGAGTGGTCCCAGACGGGGTCGAACCGTCGGCCTTGGCGTTATTAGCACCACGCTCTAACCAACTGAGCTATGGGACCTCTGCGATTGACGATCGTTGATCAAACTGATTCCCTTCGCTTGCTGCGATCGACTCGCGCTCACGAATCCGCCCGCAATCACTGCCAGCGTACTCTCCGGAGCTTGCGCTACGCGCTGGTGGTCTCAGAAGCGGGAAATTTTGTATTTCTGGAGGGGGAGGTACGAGCGCGCGAAGCGCGACGCGGAGCGGAGCGTGAGCGAGCGAGCTGGACTCTGACGCGTGCGCGGTGCGGTGCGTGCGTCGAGCACGCGCCGCTGCCGAGCTGAACGCAACGCTTCATGCGGGTCGAGCTGCGTCCGCTGTACTTGCGCGATGCAGTGAGCTGATCGCGACTCTGCTCTCAAGCGAGACGATGCATCCGATCCGCTTCACACGCACAAGGAATGAGCGAGATGCTGAAGAGAACACGCAGGCGAGGTGGAGAGCGAAACGAGTGAGAACTCGCGGAGCAAAAAGGAGAAACGATCGAGCGAGCGAGGGAAGCAAAAGCGAACCTACCAGGGATCGAACCTGGAATCTCCTGATCCGTAGTCAGGCGCCTTATCCATTTGGCCATAGGTCCAACGATGTGACGGGCTGCACAGCGCCCAGGTACCGCGTCGCGAATCGAGGGACTTTGACTTGAGCGTCGCGACGAGCAGCTTTGCGCGGGACTCTGCCGCAGATCTCGCGCAACGGCGGCGCGCCATGGATGCTACAGAGTCGAAAGCATGTGCCCGCGCTGGAATCGGCGTCCCGCTACACCAGCTGATCGCGTATGAGTGCTGCGTCGCGCGAATCGTGCACAGCGCGTTCACACGAATTGACTCGTCGGATCGGCGCGAGACTTTGCATAGCTCTCGACTAGCATGAGAGCAGCTGGTATCCGCGAGATCAGGTCGATTGCTTGCGTGAGTCTCGAGTAATCGCTCGCGCAAGTCGGCTCGAGCTGGCGGCGAGTACCTGTACTGCAGCAGCCGTAACAAATCAAGGTCTCCGGTAGTATAGTGGTTAGTATTCGTGCCTGTCACGCACGCGGCCCGGGTTCGATTCCCGGCCGGAGAGCTCCTTTTTGCTCGCGCTGCGTTTCATCTATTGCCGCTCGATCGCAAAACGAAAAATCAAAATGCCTCCTAGCAGATTTGAACTGCTGACCTTCCGCTTACTAGGCGGACGCTCTGCCAACTGAGCTAAGAAGGCTACAATCGTACGAAGCAACTGCGCTACTCGATCCTCTCTGATAATAATGCTGCTGATCGAGCGTGCTGCTACGCGCGCTTCAGGAGACTTGAACGCGCGCGAGGGAGCGACTCAGTCGATTCGGCTCGCTCCAACGCAGCTGCAAAACGAGCGTGCGCTGCGTCACGCGTGTGATCGATCATTCGATGCGTGCTCAAGGCAAAAAGAGTGTCCGACCACCCGGATTCGAACCAGGGACCTAAAGATATCCATATCACTACAGTCTTCCGCTCTACCAACTGAGCTATGGTCGGATGATGATAGAGCAACAGCGCGCTGCTATATCGCCTCGACCCGAGCTGCCTGATCCGATTAAAGCTTCGCCACGGCGGTGAGAGTCACCACGCGTTGCGATCTTGATCATTCACGTCACCTTAGCTCAGTTGGGAGAGCGTTAGACTGAAGATCTAAAGGTCCCGTGTTCAATCCACGGAGGTGACACTTTTTATTATTCTTCTCGATCGAGAGCCGCTCGCTCTCTCCTCTTTTACATCGCGTACGCACTAGCTCTCAACTGAGTGACCGCTCTAGCGTGTCGACCGCTTCGTCGCGCAGTATAACGCGTCGCGAGAGCGGGTCGCGCGCTTGCATGAGTGAGCAGCAGACGATGCAGCGCTCCTGGACAACGCACATCGCCCCTCACGCACCAAGCAGCCGATTGAGCTGTAACTCGGAGGAGACATGCATCCAGTGGTGCTACGCGTGATACTGAAAGCGCGAGTCGATCCGCCCAAGGGAACATGGCGAAACGCGCGGTTCAAGTCCGCAACCGAGCTCGGCGATCTGAGGCTCGCTGCACCGTCTAAAAGTATGGGGGATTAGCTCAAATGGTAGAGCGCTCGCTTAGCATGCGAGAGGCACGGGGATCGATACCCCGATTCTCCACTTTTTTTCCTTCTCGCGCGCGAGCCACACGCTCGACTCGCTCGTTTTGCCATCGAGACAGCGTAATACAACGCCGTATTATGGCTGAGCCACTCGCGACGACGCGGAGCAAAAGCGAGCGAGAGCAAAAGAAGAATAAACTCCTCCCAATCGGGGAATCGAACCCCGGCCATCACGGTGAGAGCGTGAGATCCTAACCACTGGACCAATTGGGATGCTTCTGTGTCTCTTGATCTGCATCCTGATCTCGCGGCACTTGCGTAGCGAGAAAAGCGAGCGAGCTCGAGGAGAAAAAAGAGTGTCTTCGTCCAGGTTCGAACTGGAGACCGTCTGTGTGTTAGACAGACGTGATAACCAACTACACCACGAAGACTGAAATTTTGGAGAGCGTCCTCGCTACAGGACCCGCCGCAGGCGTGTTCGAGTCGATCATCCGCTCATTACTCGACCAGTATCATTGCGATCCGCCCGCCGCGCAACACATGCTGACCCAAGAGTATCATCGACCGCCTCGACGTGGAATCGGCGTGTTCGCGCGTCTCTTCGCGACGCAAGCGCACAAAGTGCAGGATCGGAGCGCGCTCGCTGCCCTTGATCACCCATTTGCGCACGCCACATGGATCTGTTGAACGCGAGCTCCCGCATAGTCAAACTAGTCGGTGGTGCGCGTCGATTGTGCGCAAGGTTGTCGGCATCGCCCAAGAGACCATCAAACGCTTGCAAGATTTGCAAGTGGTTAGCGCGGACCTGGTCAGCAAGGACCGCGTGCAACTTTTTGTCGATTCAGGCCACCAAACTCGACTACACGGATGCGCTAGGACCCGAGCGCATGGGTAGCGTCGACAGATTCGCAAAAGAGTAAAGGATGCGGTCGCAAGGGGTCGAAAAGGTCGGAGCGCGAGGCGAGTTCAAGGGCAAAAAGTGATGCATAGTCCGGGAATCGAACCCGGGTCTACCGCGTGGCAGGCGGTAATTATACCACTAAACCAACTATGCCTCGATGTCCGGGGCCGACCTGCCGTACAGTAAGCCAAGTCGCAAACCGCGCTGATCGACCCGCGTACCTTTGCTCGCCCGTATCTCGACCTGTACCGCTCCAGTTCGAGCACCACCGCTCATTGAGCATCCGAGACGGTCCATCTACAAGCTCGTTGATCGAACACACTCGCCAGATCACTGTGGCGCTCCACAGTGAGAGACAAACGCTACGCAGCGAACGTGGCGTTTACAAGTGAAGCGAGCACCAGTGAGCGATCCGAGCGGCAAGAAGAGTGAGCGCGCGATGCTAGTGATCGCCGAGCTGCCGCGTGCGTGCTCCCCCGCTCATCCACGATCTCCAGCGCGAGCTCCGATCGCCACGCTCAAGTCCAGCCAGGAACGCAAGATGAAGTGATTGCTCGAGTAGAATATCAAGCCCGGTTAGCTCAGTCGGTAGAGCGTGAGACTCTTAATCTCAATGTCGTGGGTTCGAGCCCCACACTGGGTAAACATTTTTTACCCTTTTCTTTTCTCGAGACTTGATTTTGACCCCCTCAGAGCCGACCTATGCGAAATCTGTTGATACCATCGTGTTCCCCGTGATATATTGCCTAGGATGGTGCCGGTTTCGAGGCAAAGGAGACCGAAAAGCGACCCGCCCCAAGGGGGACTCGGCGCACAGTGTAGTCAGCCGATCGGTCGCGATTTCGCCAAGTCCCCCGCCGAGACCAAAGAACGTCACTTTTTCACCAGGTTCCCGACCGACTCTCGCGACACTTAAGACCTCTATGGATAGGCAAAACGATTCTGCGTTGCATGGCGTCAACAGATTCGCATCATTCCGACGGCAACATGGTCAAATATTGACCCGACCGGTTCGAGTCCGCGCGACACCAAAGTTTTGCTCGCGGTGTCACGATTTCGACCCCTTCCCGTTGGGCTATCATGACGCCTCAGATATCAATGGATAGCTACAGTGATTCTGAGTTGCATGGCGTCAACAGATTTGCATGATCCCGACGGCAACAGGGTCAACTCTCGACTTGAACGTGTTCGAGTGCGTAAACGTGCGCTCGGGTGCATCCTTCAATGCTTTCGCGCGCCCTCCTAAACTTAAGCTTGCGCTAAGTTCCCGCAGCAATTGCAGTCAACAGATTGAAAAAATCTTAAGAGACCATGTCGGGGGACCGACTCGAGTGCGGGTCGGTCGGGGCGGTGCCGTGACATGAGTTTTGCAGCTTTCTGGGATCTGTTGCTCTTGATCATTATCAACAAGGTGCCCCAACATTCATGTGGAGCGCCTTTGGTCTAGCATGTCTGTAGCGCACTGGGGGTCGGGTCGATCCGGGTCGGTCGAACCGCTCCCACGACATGAGTTTTACAGCTTTTTTGATTCTGTTGCTTCTAATCGTAGCTAACAAGGTGCTCCAACATCCATGTGAAGTGCCTTCTGTCTAGCGTCCTTGTAGCGGAAAATGGTTCGGGTCGATCCGGGTCGGACGGACCGCTGTCGCGACCTGAGTTTTGCAGCTTTTGCGGATCTGTTGCCTTTGATCTTGTTCAGTGACGTGCCCCAACCTGCGTGTGCAAGGGCGTCTGCCTAGCTGTTCTCTAGCGCCGGAATCGACAGTGCATCCGAGCTTTCGCATCTGTCAATGCTTTGCCGATCTGTTACTTTTATATAATCAGAGTAAAAGAGGAACACATGATGCAACTTACAGATCAAAGATCCGTTGAGAAATGGCTTTGCAATTTAATACGCTCGGTCGACCAGCTAAAGCGACCAAGTGACCACACTCAGGATCGAACCCGCGACCCGACTCCGTCTCACTCGCAACTCGAGCTGTATAAATGGAATAAAGGCGCAAATTATTTTCTGAGGTCCACGCGTCATATAACGATCCCTGTTAAAGTTTGGGAGCAATCCGAGTTTTGTGTCTCGGCCCCGTGTAAAACAAATGCAAATGCAAGTGGCAGGTATGGAACCCGCGACCTCTTGGCTCTCAAGACGTGGTGCGGGAGCAAAATCGCCCCAATCAATTTTTGATTAATACGGGAGCTCCAGAATAGATAGCAATGTAACATACTCGAGTACGAGCTCAAACGGACCCGGATTGAGTGTGAAAGTAAATCCGAAGGTACTCGCAAATGCGCTAACAAGCAGGATCGAACCCAGGGCCGTGTGAGCGTGAAGTAGAGCCGACACTGTCCTTGAGCTGTTGCGCTAGTTTGAGCTGGACTTTGAGACGTGAGGCGATCGTGCGCCGCGGCCTCGGTGATCGCATATTACTCGCGCTGTATGAGAGCGATGAGGCTCGGGCTTTCAGCATGGAGCGAGCATACTGTCGACTACATTCTGGAGAAAAAAGAGCTCGATCGGAGCCGCCCTCGCGACACAGCAGCGTGTGCGCCGACTCGAGCTGTGTACGCTTCGCTGCTTGCGCTGTGCGCGAGGGAGCAAAACGAATGTCCAGGAAGGGATTCGAACCCTCGCCTCCGAAGAGACTAGTACCTGAAACTAGCGCCTTAGACCGCTCGGCCACCTGAACATCAAAGTTTACATGTACTCGGGTCGCTCTCGACCTCCAAGTCGCTCGCACATCGAGATCCGCATTGGTCCAGTGGTCAGGATCCCTCGCTTTCACCGAGGTGGCCGGGGTTCGAATCCCCGATGCGGAGCAGCGCGTTTTGCTGCGACGAGTTCGAGTCGATCACCTTTTTCTTGCGCTGTACGCGACGCAAAAGGCTCGTCCCGCTCACAGCGAGCGAGAAAAAGAAGGGCTCGACCGGGGATTGAACCCGGGACCTCTCCCACCCTAAGGGAGAATCATACCACTAGACCATCGAGCCTTGCTTCTCCGATGCGCGTCTATCTTCACGATCGTCCCTCGCGAGCCAGATGCTTCGCGAGAGGGAAAAAAAGGGATGAGGAGAGTGGGATTCGAACCCACGCCTCCGAAGAGATCACGGCCTTAACGTGACGCCTTAGACCGACTCGGCCATCTCCCCATCGATTTCTGAGCGTGTACGATCGATCACCAACCGCTACGGCAACAAACGCAATCGACTCGCTCGCTTTCTTGCTCGCGCAACTTGATCGACCGTTGCGTGTCCGCGTGTAAGACAACGTGCCCGAGTGGTTAAGGGGATTGACTAGAAATCAATTAGGCTCTGCCTGCACAGGTTCAAATCCTGTCGTTGTCGTTTTTTGCTGCTCAGAGCGGTCTCGCGGCGATGTTGAGTGTGATTCTACGCGAGGATCGACTGATCCAAGGCGCGCGCGAGCAAAAAGGATGATGCGGAGTGGGAGACTCGAACTCCCGACCTTAGGATTATGAGACCTACGCTCTGCCGACTGAGCCAACTCCGCATTGAATCAGCTCGAGTAGTTGGTCTGGATGATCGGCTTTCGCGGCGAACGAAGCTGAGCTTTCCGCAGCTTACTGCGAGCTCTTGTGGCGCAATTGGTTAGCGCGTTCGACTGTTAATCGAAAGGATGGTGGTTCGAGTCCACCCAAGAGCGTTTTTCATTTTGCTGCTTGCGCTCTTGCGCGTACAAGCCAGGTAATCAATCACGAAGCGGCTCGAGCGAGCGCTGAAGATTCTCGTCAAGGATCGGTGCTGATGAGCGAGGAGGAAAAAAGAGTGGTCCCAGACGGGGTCGAACCGTCGGCCTTGGCGTTATTAGCACCACGCTCTAACCAACTGAGCTATGGGACCTCTGCGATTGACGATCGTTGATCAAACTGATTCCCTTCGCTTGCTGCGATT